AATGACCAACTTATCGCCCGCAATCGCACTTTTTGACCATGCGCATTTATTAATGACATAATTAAGTTTATGAACATACAAATTAAACTAGCATTCCCAACTTTCCGTATCGAGAAATTCCTTCTAAAATAAATTAAAATAGCTTGGTTACTATCCAATCGATTATGCTAAAAATTTATTTTATATAAAAATTACATTTAATAAACTAATTAACCCCGATTATATTGAAAATATTCATCTCATTTTAATTATATCATTAATTAAGTTAATAATCTTTTTAAGCATACAAATAACGTTAACTCTATGGACGGCACTATACTAAACACTCTCAACAGCATAGCACCGCAACGGCTATCACTGACTCGCTTAGTGTTCACGTAAAAAAGTATTCATAAGTTTTTAACTATTAAACTAATTTTTAAGCTAGCAACAAAAAAGATGGACATACCGGTCATGGCACCAGTCATACCGAACCTCCCATTGTTCAGCACGTTCATAGCTATCTTAAAGCCCTCGCCTACCGGGCCCAGTAGGTTCTCCACCGGCACCTTCACGCTATCGAAATACACGTCAGTAGTATTGGACGCCTTGATACCCATTTTTTTGTGGGGCGGACCGGACGTAACTCCCGGCCCCCTCTCGACGATAAAGGCCGCCGTCTGGTCGCCCACTCTGGCGAATACGGTGAACACGTCGGCGATACCCCCGTTGGAGATCCAGATCTTCGTGCCGTTCAGTACGTAGTGTTTGCCGTCCGGCGAGAGTTGGGCGCGGGTTTGGATGCTCGACGCGTCCGACCCTTTTGTCGAACCCCCGCAAGTCATTTGAAAAAATATGTTTAAAAATGTTAATTAAATATTATTTATTAGAGTTTTATTATGTAGTCGAAAAACTGTTGTTTAAATATTATAGAGTATAATACGATATAATCTAAAAATAATGTATTATGTTTGTAAAGTATATTGCTTTTAAAATATTTAATAAATATTTAAAAAAAACTATTTGTGAGTGAATTATTAGCAAGGTTAACATGAGAACTGTATCACACATACCGACTCCTGGTTCCGTCAAACAGAAACACGCGATCCGTTTACCGGTGGCCAAGTCGGGCACGAATCGGCGTTTTTGGTCGTCCGTACCGAACAATAGTATGCCTTTATAGCCAATGGCCTGGTGGGCGGCCGTGAACACTGCCAGTCCCAGGTCATACCGGCATAGGATCTCACCAATACGGGCGTATTGGGTAGTATTCATACCGATGCCACCTAATTCAGTAGGGACCTGAGTGGTAGGGTGACCAGATTTAAAAATGTATTACTTTATGAGCTTTTAGCAAATTATTTTAACACTATTATGATTATATCAAATAGCAAGTTAGCTAGTTTAAATAAAATTATAATTTTTGGGGATTCTACAAATTAATTAAACAAGATAGCTTAAGATTTTTTTTTGTTAAATAACTTATGAATAAAATTAAATTATAAGATACGCTAAAGTCCTAGACATGTGGTCACCCCTAACCTGAATGCCAAGTAAACCCATTTCGCTCATAGTATCGACAAGTTTGTCGTCAAACGCCTCGTTAGCCTCGTATCGGAGGGCGTCGTCGGGCGCCCACTGCCTGACAATGGGTTCGGTCACCATATCAACCATCTGTAGGTCATCGGCGGTTAAGACGTGTGGGTACGGGAACTGCTGCTGAACTTTGGCCTCTCCTCGGAATAGGTTCATCACGAATGAGGCCGACTCTACTACCGGTGCTGATGCTGGACTGGTAGTACGTTTGGCGGTCGAGGGCTCAGTCG